CCAGAATAGGCAAACCCATAGAGACAGAAAACAGGGGCCGGAGGGAGGGAGAAATAAGGAATGATGGCTTGCGGGGTCTCATTTTGGGGTGATAAAGTGTTCTAGAACTAGATAGTAGTGGTGGTCGCACAGCATTGTGACTACAGCCATGCGCCATATGTTCTGAGAAATGCTGCAGCAGACAATTTTGTGGTTGTGCGGACGTCTCAGAGTGCTCGTATGCAAACCCGGGTGGTATAGCCTCCGGCTGCGATTGTATGCACTGCACTCTTATACAACCGGCAGCACAGTGGGTTCGTTTACAGCAGCATCACCACAGACGCGTGAGGAATGCACTGTGCCGTGACAGCACCGCAGCTGCGATATCACGAAGCAGGAGGAATTTTGCAGCTCCATCCACCATCATATGTGTGGCCTGTCGTTGACCAAAATGTCCCTATGCAGCATATGAATGTACTAAATGCTACTGAATGCTAAATGCTACTGAATGCACTAAATGCTACTGAATGCATATGAATGTACTAAATGCTACTGAATTCTATACTTTGAATTTTTGAGTGGCAAAGTTTATGTTGTATAAATTTTACAATTTTTTTTTTAATCAGCTTTGTCTGTCTTGTTCATCTCTGGGCACTTAGGACGAGAACAATATGAGGCACACAGTAGACGCTAAGAACATATTCGTTGGAGAAGCGAGTTAAGTGGACCAGAACCAAGGCCTCTCGGCTCTCAGTCTTGAGTTTTTCCCACAATGTCACGAAGCTCCAGGAAGCTCTAGTCCAGTGGCTCTCAAAATCTCAGGTGCCTCAGAATCACCTGGAGGTCTCACTAAAACACAGATTGCTGGGCCTCAGCCCTGAAGTTTCTGATTTAGAAGGTCTAAGTGGCACCTGAGAATTTGCTCGTCTGACGAGTTCTCTGCCAGCCCCAGGGGGCACACTCTGAGCATAAACACTCTCTGCTTTCTATTAAGCCACAAGAGACAAAGAACCTTGATGTGACCGGGAAAGAGGAAAGACAGGGCCAACATTGAATTAAAACAGAGAGATGCGAACCATCTGAAAACTGAACCATACACAAATCGAATTGTCCATTTTAATTTAGTTTACTTGAATTGGAATGGGTTTGGCGTGCAACTTATACCCCTGCTAGGTGAGGGTGCAATGGTGTCCCAGTAAAGACAGATCTCGAGCCCTTTAAAAAAAAATCTATTTGAGCAAACCACTTAATTCAAGGTAGAAGGGCTTCAGGTTTAGGGCACAGGTGCAGAGCATTTGCGGGGGCAGTCCAGAGCAGTGAGGAGCTCCCTAGGTTCAAATCCCAGCACTTCCACCCACCAGCTGTGCAAACTTAAACAGCCTGTGGTAGACAGAATAATGCACCCACCAAGAGATACCCACACCCTAATCCCTGAAACCTATAAATATGTTATCTTACATGGCAATGGGAATTAAGGTGGCAGGTGGAATTAAAGTTATTAATCAACTGACCTTAAGATAGAGAGACAATCCTGGGTTATCTATCTGCATGGGCCCAGGATAATCACAAAAGTTTGTAAAAGTGGAAGAGGAGACAGAAGAGACGGTCAGAATAGCACGGCATGAGAAAGATTCACCCTGTCATTGCTGACTTTGAAGATGGAGGAGGGGGGACGCGAGCTGAGAATTGGAGCAGCCTCTAGAGGCTGGAAAAGGCACAGAAACAGATTTACTGCTAGAACCTCCAGAGAGGAACGCAGCCCTGCCAACATCCTGATTTTAGCCCAGTGCGACTCATGTGGGACTTCTGACCTCCAGAATGTAAGATAATAAATGTGTGTTGCTTTAAGCCACTAAATTTCTGGCAATTTGTTAACAGTCGAGCTAGAAAACCAATACACTATCTAAATTCTGTAATCTCGAGTTTCCTCATCCATAAAGTGGGAATGACCACAGCTACTGCATAGAGTAGGTACAATGATTAAATTTACTGTATGTAAAAATCCTAGTGCAGGGTTTGGTCCACAGTCCACATAAAATAAATGTTGGCATCACCGTTATCTAGAAGTTCTATAACTGTCTCCTGGACAAGCCTGCCTGGGCTCCCTGGGGACAGGCCCCCCTCTGCTACCCAGGGTGCATGCGTACCTCTCCTTACCTGTTTTTGAGGACACCAGTTTCTCCCCAAGACCCTTCAGTCCACTTTCCCTTGTCCTTCCAACTTCTGCTTTGTTGATCTTGACAGTCCAATCTCTGATACTGGGGGTTGCGCACAGGTGAGGGGCCCTAAGATACAGGAGCTGTCACCCACTTTCCACAAGAAACGTCTCCTTGGCTAGAAGGCCAGAGTGGGCACCTGGTATCAAGTTATGTCTCTGTTTCCAGAGCTGACCTGGGACAAATCATCTCTTTACAAAAAACGATAGCTCTTGTGAAAATTTGCTAAGTGTTTGTCTTTCCATTCATTCATTTATTCCAAGACAAGTGAGTTTTCCGATGCTGGACTCACAAAGATAAACAATGGAGGAAAATCTCTGATTCATTTCTTGGAGAAAGGGAAGGAAAGGAGACACCACAGAAAACAGGTTTAGCAGAGATGTTTATTAGAGCAGAAGAGGTGAGGGAAAAAATAGATGACCAAAAACCTCCACAGCCCCAAGTGGTGTCTCACTATGCTGAATGAGACTTCCTAAAGTCCTCAGAGCAGGCAGCCTGCCCCCATGATCTGAAGATCCCACCCCATCAGCCCCAGCTAAGATTCTCATTCTGCCCACCCTTCCAAGATGGAAAGAAGGCCATTGGGGGGGGGGGTCTATACTTTAAGCTATTGGTTTCAACGATTTATGCAGATTAGCAAAATGAAGCAGCATATGCATTTGTCATCAATCTCCAAGGCAACCTTTGCCATGGCCACAGCTCACAAGATCTGAAGGCATCATTTCTGCAGCTAAAAAATAAATGAAAGAAGGAGCCTGATCCTGTTTCGACACCGTCCAGGTTGGTGCTTATCAAAGTGTTGCTAGAAAAGAATGAGAAAATAATGTTAATAGGATGATGATGCTGACAAAGAACGGGGGAGGAGGAGGGAAGAGGAAGAGGAGAAAGAGACTTGGGGCAGGGCGGGGGTGTGTGGACAGCCATCAAGCTGTCATTTCCTGAGCACTACCTACGATGTGCCGGAGCAGCACTGTTTTCCTTGCATTGAATTTTTTGATGCTCAGAATGGCCATATGGGGGAGGAACTCTTACTATTTTGTTGAAGAAACTGACAATTAATTTTTCCCAAGAGGTGTCATGATCTGAATACTATGTGACTCCAAATTCAAAGCTAATACATGCCCCCCCACCCCCCACTGCTTCCTCATCTTCATGTAAATGGGAGCTGCCTGGAGTGAGGCCTCCTGTATTTTGCAGGGGCCACGCCCACCCCCACCCCCAGCTCACCAGCAAGGCCTATCCTACCCAGAAGCAAAGGCCTCAGTTGACTCAGAGGCTGCTGCCATGGGGCTCGCTCAGCCTCAAAAACTTTCCTCTTGCCCGGCCTGCGCAATGGTAATAAGCACCTCTAATTTGTGGAGTCATTTACTATGGGCCAGGCTCCACAGATACCATTATTGCCCCAACTTACAGATGCAGAAATGGAGGTTAGGCACCTAGCCCAAAGCCATAGAGTGGAACTCAGAGAGCTGAACTTAAGTCTGCCGGATTCCAGAGTCTGAGCTCCTAACTACTCTACAGTTCTGCTTTCTGGAAGAAGCCAAGTGAGGGCTTCCAGTGCTGGAAGATCAAGGTTCACAGTGCAGCGGAGAGAGACAAGCCCTGACCTAGAACAAGGTTGCAGAGGCTGGAAGGACCAGAACAGCCCACCCTCAAGCCCTCAGAAGCAGAACTTTTCCAAAGCTTTTTCAAAAGCATCCCAGCAGATGCTCCTCTCACTAACTGTTAAAGCCCCTCAGAGGAACCATGCCCCCTCCCCCAACACACCCACAGGTCCCAGCAGTACTATCCATGTAAAGCATGCAGGACTGGAGCGGTCAGGAGACTGGCATGCCAACCACTCCTAGGATGAGTTAGTAGCTTATTCAGGCTCAGTCAGCGCCTCTATGAAAACGGGGTTAAAATGCACACCCCGAAATGATTCAGAGGTGTTAAGAGAATCAAACGAGAGAATTTAGGTGATAGCAACCTGAAAATTACAAAGAGCAATACGCAACAGGAAGTGTTTCTATGTTAATTCACAGTAGCACCAAAAAAAAAAAAAACAACAACAAAGATATAAGATTTCTCTTAACCAGAGATGACAAATTGCCCCATTATATCCTGTCCTGCTTCATCCATACAAATTACAGAGGAGAAATGACATTCACTAGGCTTAACCTCTGAAGGGATTTGCTACTTTATCTAATAGGATTTGGAAAGGGGGAAGGAGATGGACATGGACAGACAGGGAAGAAACAAACAGCCTCATGTAGGAGCAAGGTGCCGAGGCGGGGTATGCAGGTGTGCCAGGAACACTGAGCAGCCCAGTTCAAGGGCACCAAAAGGCTAAACCCAGAGGAAGAGGGAAGATAGGTGGGCTGGGCAGATTCCCAGCCTGGAGGACTGTGGGAAGGCAGTAAAGAAGTCGCTGCTCCTGGTGACAGTGGTGATGATGGTAAAGAACGTCACTGGCCAAGTCCATATCTGCTGAGCCTCCCAGAGTGACCCAAGTCTCAACGAGCCACACTTCTCTGGATTTGTATTCCAGAATGACCTTTTTCAGACAGCACGTTCCTCCCCTATTTAAGATCTCTTGACGAGTCAGTAGTGGTCAGGCTCCCTTGTGAGTCCCCCAGGGCTCTTCTCAGTCTCTC